GCTTTCACCATATGGGAGCTTTAAAACATGAAGTTCCGTGTTGCTCAGCCAAGCGTGATTTTCCACAGGAAGCTTTCAAATCCCTAAAGACAGTTTCAGCAGAATGTGCTCCTCTGAGCCACTTGAGGTGGGGTTCGGACATCTGTCTAGGAGGCCTCCCAGCTGCCTCCCATGTGAGGTGTTTTGGGCATGATCAACTGGGAGGAGACCTTCAGGGCAGACCCAGGATACGCTGGAGAGTTTATGTTTCTCAGCTGGCTTGGGAACACCTCCCAGAAGAGCTGGAAGAGGCAGCAAGGGAGAGCGAGGTCTGGGCAGCTCTGCTTAGGTTGCTGCCTCTGCAACTCAGACCTGGATAAGCAATAGAAAGTGGATGGATGGATGGATGGATGGATGGATGGATGGATGGCTTTTGAATCCTTTCAGGGTTGTAATAAGTCCATGTCAGCCATAAAAGCTACCAGTGTTGTCAGCCAAAAAAACTCTGTGCTTGTCAAAAATTACTGCAAATTTGCGAGCAGTAAATCTGTCGCTGCAGTTGTTGCAAAGCTTGTATTTGCCATACAAGCTTAAACAGTCAGGCGACTGTGACTGTAACTTTACGCTGTTTGGTTTTATCACACAAGATACGAAACATGGCGGAAATAAGAATGAAATGATTGCTCTGCTTCAAGCCAAAATGAAAAGTTGCACACCGGTGTAATGATAAACTATGGTTTCACAGCACGACACACTAACAGCTGCTCATTTGTAGCTCAAACAGCTTCAGTCGATGCGGTCAATAGCAACAAAGAAGCTGCGGCTACCATGGGGAGTCGTTTTCGCCTTGTCTGTGGCTCCCCACCCTGCACGGTCTGTCCTTTGAATGTGTCTTTGTCAGGAAACCTGTGCAAAAACTCTTAATCTCGAGCAATAGGAAGAGACACTTCGAATCAGATTCAGCCACCAGCTGCTGTCTGTCTGTCTGCAGTCCCTGGGCAGATGGAGACAAACACCGCTAAGTAAATGCTAAGGTAAGGAAATAGTGTTCTACCAAGTCCAGGGACATGAATATTGACACAAAGAATATTGATTTTACCATTCAGAAGGTAACATCAGTCATTCTAGAAGAGATGTTACATAGAATGTTACTCTCGTTTTTTAGGCAAGTTGTTGATTAAATATTTGGATGAAATATTGATATTTTTTAGTCAGTTTCCTTTTTTAAATGCAATAAACTGAACTCAACCTCGTGCAATGACATAATTGTGCTTCCTTCAGTCACTGCAATATCAAACTTTCTTTTTCTTACTTTTTTGCATTTATATTGATGAAGGTAATAGAAAATGTGGGGAAAGAGAACAGTTTACGGCTGAGAACTCGATCCATGACCTGAATGATTTTGTAAAACCACAAATGGGAAATGTGTAACTTCTTGTTTGCACAACGGCACATGAGAAATATTTCTTTAAATACTGTGCTACTTTTTCAGGAAGCTATGAAGTAAAATTGTTATTTATGGGCAATAATGTAATTTAAAAATGAAACTCAAATCAAAAATTGAATCAAAATCATCACTTGAAAAGATGCAATGAACTAATTTAAACTACTGACCGAAAAATGTAACCCTCTGAACCCCAAAACTCACCAATGGGTTTGACACACATGTTATCTTTTTTTAAAACCACCAAAATTACACCATTTATCAGAGTCAAAAACTGAAAAAATTGTTTTACTTTCTGACGGTCACTGAATGTCTTATCTGCAGTGTGTCCTTGGTCATAAAATTGAAACTTAAAATTGAGATATTTCATCAAAATGATGTCATTCTACATGTCTTTGTTTAAAAATCTGCCAAAGTGAAGTGTTTTCAGAAACTAAATTCTATTGAAAACTTAAAAAAAATAAAAATAAATAAATAAATAAATTCTACACTCCTTAGCACAACTGGGAAGTCATTAGTGACTCAGCGGCAACCAACAGTTACATGACAACAATTCAGGGATGTTTGCTTGAACTGCAGACAGTGTTTAAAGAGAGTAGAAAGGAAACAAGCATGGGAACAAATTAAAAATGTAAATAATAAGATATCTATAGTATGTAGAGTCACTAATCATGTTTTTTTTTCTCCCAGGATTGCTAACACATGTGCACACTTGTAAAATGTTGTACATATTAATTCCAGATTTTACAAATTTTAGTTAAATAAGAATTTAACAAAATCCAACTTTTGTTTTTGTCTGTTCTATGAGTTATTGCATCCTGACTATGTTATACTGAACATCAAAACATGCCTGAGTTCTCTCTATTTCCAGTCATGGTTGTACAGTTTACATAGAGGTGCAGGACTTTATATTGCAGAGAAAAATGAGTCCACAGTGAGAAAAAAAAATCAGGAGCAAATGAAACATCCAAAAACTGCTTGTAGTCGAGACGGTTAAACTATCATGTCAGTGGTTTTAGAAATGTAAGCCGACTGCATCCAGAAAAGATTCCCCTTTATTAACCATAATTGTTTTATTCTTTAATATTATTACTTTATTGAACTTGACAAAGTAACTGAAGCTTGACTTTAAAAACTGAAATCGCTTATCGCAACGCAGTATCCGTCAGACGGATATTTCTCCTGAACTCTTCAGTCACAGTAATAATACAGAAGCGTTATTTTACACAAGTGTCAGATATTCGTGTATTCTCCTTCAGAGCTGGAGAAATGTCTGTCAGCTCTGTCCCACTGTGACACTTTTTGTGTCGCAACAAAAGCCGATTCTGAATTTACTGCTTTCAAAATGCAACCCCATTTGTCTTCTGTTGTAAGAAGGACCCATTTGGGGTCCGACTTCCCAGCAAAACCAAAATGTCATGAACCAGCTCTTCCCTGAGGACCAACAGAGGACAGTCTGACATAAAACATGCTTGTGTGTGTGTGTGTTGCTTCAACCAGAAGTCCCTCTTGGCACCGACATCCCTCTAATGGGGAGCAAAGGGGGGCCGGGAAGGGGATGGAGGAGGTGAAGAGAAAGCCGGGTTGCCAGAGCACAGGTTAATCCACTAATTGGGAGCAAAGGGAGACGGTTTGCCAGATTGTGATGGCCACCAGGAGGGGCCGTTTAAGGGGGACATCTGTTCCTGCTGGAGAACAGCCGCCCTCACAGCTCCCCAGTTTCCTCCCTGACACTCATCTTCTTTATACACAAACCTGACAGCGATGGTCCAACCTCCTCTAGAGTCTCGTGTTACATCCAACTCATGGAGTCTCTTTCCCCGACCGGACCAAAAAGCCGGGCTCAGGATGGAAAAGGATAAGAGCGTCTTTCTTTTGAGTTTCCTTTAAAGGGGAAGGAGGTTGACTTGCCAGGCACATTGTGGCCCAACAAAAAGCCAGTTTGCGATTCAAGAATGAGCAATTATGAGCAATATGTTTAATTGCTTCACATGTGCCATATTTCAGCCTGGAAGACATACGCTTCGGTTTAAGCAGCAAACATATTCAGGGGCTGTTACACTGACAATTAAAGCACATTTCTGGGGCACAAACTGTTATTGCGGTACTACAAAGCGTTTGGAAAAGTTCAATCTGGATCCAGAACTGCAGAAAACAGCCACGAAGTCCATGATTTCAGTCTCATTTCACAACGTGCAGTAGCTCTCCAGAAGATGATGAAAAGGCTTAATCGTACAGTTTTCAACATTTGCTTTGCAGCAATGATTCAATTATTGGATCAGGTGTGCACAAGCATGCAGGTGATACAAGCCACATGACCGCTGCTGGTGCCGTTTGTAGCAGCAACAAGAAATGCAAGATGTAAAATATTTAAAGTTTAGTTTTACAAATGTTTCACGGGGTAGAAAATGGATTCGACATGTTTTTTTGAGGCCTTGAGGAGACGCACGATGTGTTTTGATGATGAATACTGAATGAAAAAAGGCACTGTGTACAAGAAAAGTCCAAGCTACCTTGAAGAAAAGTTTTCCAAAGATTCTTGCAACAAGATTGAGCCTGTGGGTTAAGCCTCCACAAAACTTTATGGAGGATGCAGAACTTGTTTATCCAACTCTGAAGCAGACAGAAGGGTTGATTCTGGATGATGTTTTGTGACAACAGTCTATTTTTGAAATAAACTTTCCAATATGTTCAGATTAAAACTACTTTATGACTACAATTAGTTAGACCTTGGTTGTGGCAAATGCACTGTTATTAAGGTTTTTTCATAGTTATGCTATTATGCCATTCCTAAAACACACATTTCTACATCATACTGGTGACACTGAACTTTACAGGTGTAGATTTCATTTGAACTTAGGGGACTGGGCCAGAAAAATGCTGAGTGTCAAATACTTAAATTCCTGCCTTCTGGTGAATATTTATGCACCAATTTGTTCCTTTTGTGCATCAATTCATGGTGGAAATGTCCTAACTTACAAAAGGAAAAGACATAATTCAGGAACAAGTGCCAATTGAAGATTATGTAGAATAATGCAGTGAGACTTTTAAATGTTTACTCTCCTGCAGATCAACTTTTTTTTGTTTATTTCATATTATCCCTGCTGAGTCAACACATACAGGCATGATTTACTCTTTTCTCTTATTTTCTGTGGATAAATAAGCTCTTCACATGTGGCATCTTTTCTCGTCAATAGCAAATTAATTCAGTATATAGTAGTAGTAGTATATTTTTAAACTCCTGTACTTTAGTAGCTCATGTTCAAAGCTTTTTGCACATTCAGGACCTTTCACACATGTTTGTGTTTGTCATGTTAATAAGTCCTTTTCTTCTTGCACATGCTTTGAAAATCGAGGGGAATGTATTCATTGTGTCATTCCTGACCTGAGCTTATATTGTGAGTTGAGTCAGTATGGACATACTTCCATAGAGATGCTTGACTTTTCTCAACAGAAGCAATTCATTACCTTTTTATGACTTACAAACTTATATTTTAAACATTATTAGGATCCGATAAATCAAACGATAACGCTCAAAACTTAACAGACTGTTTTGTCCTGTGTGTCTGACTTTCAGGATACGCCATCCTGCAGGCCATCATGGAGAAGGCAGGACAGAACAACTGGCAGGTCAGTGCCATCTGCGTGGAAAACTTCAACGACGCCAGCTACCGGCGACTGCTGGAGGACCTGGATCGGCGACAGGAGAAGAAGTTTGTCATCGACCTCGAGGCAGAGAGGCTGCAGAACATGCTGGAGCAGGTGATGTAACCGCGACAGCGTCTAGTTGTTCTTCACGGCAGCTGATTGAATCAAGTTGGTCAAAGTTCGCTGTTGATTCAAACCTACAGAGCTGCAGAAGCTAAAATTTACTTTTAAATACTGTTGTTTTTAAAAGTGGCACCAAACGTGTCATTCTAAAATACTTTATCATTCTGACCCTGTAGATGAAATCAAAGTATGACATTTTCATTGAAAGCCGCTGCAGAATTCAGGTTTAACAGAATTGCCCATAAGCAGCAACAGCTCTGGAAACAAGTAATTCTGCAGACTTTTCTTTAAAAATACATAATTGAAATCCCATTTAACATGAAAAACATTTTAAACACAGTAAAGTAGATTTGTGTTGCTTAGTGGCTTGTGAACATGATGTGTCAAGCACCAAAACAGTGTAAACAAGTTAAACAGTCTTTTCCATGTGGTTGAGACACTTTAGAACTGAAGTGGGAACTTTAACTCTCTTGTGTGGCTCACACAGCCCGAGATATGAAACTATAGATTAGTTTAATTTCCTCTTATGGCTCCTGTCATTGATTGTATCGCTTGAAAACATTGCTGGGAACTCCAAATATGGGGATACATTGAGCAGCCAGACGATCAGAACCCAACTGAAAGTAAATAGTAATTTTCCCCTAAATGATAATACCCCTGCGTCTGGTGTTTATAGTTCTTGTTGGATTCTTTTATGAGTTATCAGTCAATCGTAATCACCAAGTTAATTTGCAGAAATGCAGCCGCATTACAAAATTGAAGTGCAACGAGGCAACAAACACAAGCAGCCAGACTATCAGACAGATTGGAAACAAACCCTCAGGTTAGTCAGACTTATCTGGAAGAGAACGAGAAGATAAAAAGAAAAGAAAAAAATTACCCAAACTGTCTGTTGTAAACATCAGTCATAGTTTCTTGTGGATTTATTACAACAACTGGATACTTGGTGCCAAAACGGTTTTCCTCCAGGGCTTACGCCAACAATGTTTCCTCTCCTCTGGATCTGCTTCTGTGTTTTGCACATCAACGTCAGCGTCTCTGCCCGAGCTCGACTTCACATTGATTAGCGTTGATGTCTGACGCCTCACAGTTGCTTTTGGAGGATTTGTGAAAGTTTTACAAATGTTAGGTTTAAAAGCTGACCTTGTTTGCAGCTTGACTAGTTTTAGGACAGAACTAGCAGGTAGATTGTGAGCTGGTTTCCAGAAATCAAATGAAAATTTAATCTGAAATAGCATATTTTATCATTTTTACAAAAGATTTTTTAAAACCTACTTAAGTCTTGATTTTTCTCCCTGTTGATGTGCACATGGACAGCTGTGGACACTACTGACATGCAGTTTCTATTATTATACTACTTTTCTTTCACCCTTGAGTCCACTTGGTGTCCCAGACATGCACAGTTGGACATATTTTGCATGTGCACACGATTGCCAAACACTTGCACTGTCACCTGGACTCTCATGTGCTTGGGTAGATGACAAAATTTACAACATGTAGACACAGAAAGTATAAAACTGCCTATTCTGACACATTAAATTACTACATTCATTCATTCATTCAAAACAAGCTTTAAGTCACCTGAGTGATGCACAATATTTTCTTTGCACCTTCAAATCTAAAACTCCACGAAAGCTGCAAAGTCACCAACATTCCTAAAATGATTTCCAATTACAGCATCCCAGAAACTACACTTAAATACTTCAATTAAAAGCAGAAGTTAATACTTAGTGCTGTTACTCTGTGTTTGTTTTACTCTGTTTTTTGAAGGGTGAAAGTTGCTAATTAGAAAGTTTGGAACAGTCTGTTCTGATCTCCAGTGGTGTTAGTTGGCAAAAGCACACTCAGAATATGATGTTTGCCTTCCTCCTCCTCCTCCTCCTGTTCGCCTTCATCCCTTCATCCCTCCATCCCTCCATCCTTCCCTGGGGCAACTGGTGTCTCTGTAATTGTTCAATTATTCAGGAAATCTCCACTCTGACATCTGTCATAGTTCTAACAATTTACTTTGCAGATGTGTGTGTCTCTTTGCCCCACAGAGCAGCAGACGTCCCGCTCCATCCTCGCTCAATGCCAGCGCACACAACGTCTCCCGAGCAGACATGATGGATTCTGTCACTTTGAGAGGTTTTGGGATGATGCGTTGTTTTGCGCAGTGGTGGTCAGAGTTACTGCCAAAGACATAAACATCTACTTTAGCCTGTGTTCATTCCCGCTGTCATCCTGTTTATATTTATATCTTACTGAATTATCCTGATCCAGGACAAGGATTTGAATACATAATTGGGCCTCATTAGCTGCTTATCAGCAGCGCGGTCAGTACATATCAAGGCTTTTAAGAAACCAGATGTTGCTTTGAATGACGGAAATCTGCAAATCTGAGCCTGCTTTACTTGCAGATGGGGCTGTAATTTGCTGGCAGCTGATTTGCAAGTTGCACAAACTGTCGTAGCAGCAACATTTACAAGGGAATGAAGACTATTAGCTTAAAGTTAAAGTGGCAATCTTAAAGATTTCAGTCTTGGGTGACTTGGTGACCTCTGCAGTGACTGTTTTATGCTACAGGTCACTGACTTCTAGTGACAAATTATGATTGTGTGATCAGTTGGTGACCTATCCTATTGCCTGCAGCGCTTTATAAGTTCACTGTTCCTCCTTATTCCATTACTCTCTGCAATATGTCAAGCCAATCCAATGTCGGCGAATGCCCAAAAGGACCGTTGTCTTGTTTTGTTGATGCATTTTTGATGAGCAAAGAGCAGCAAGTGCTATACTCACTGTGTTTTTTTGTGACTACTTCATAATTAAAGTCAGTTTGCCACTTAAATGCTTTTAATGTGATGTTGCAGCAGTAGGAAATGTTCAGTTTACGTTAGCAGTGACTTAAAGGGTCTCCGTGCCACATTCAGTACATTAAGCATCAGCATCTAACCAAAACAAATGAGTCGGCGGCTACGTCTTCCCTTAGCCTGTGCTAGCAATGTAACATGCATTAGATAGCTGTAGCATGTTGTTGAGTAACTTGAGTAATGTTACCTTCACTTCACTGTCTCTCCTCGCTTAAAAAAAAAGAAGCAAAGTTTAATTAAATGGAAGCCATACACTGGCCACTACAGTGCTAAAGAGTTTAATAAAACATTTTCCCAGGTTTTTTACCACAACCATCCAGTTCATAACACTGCAAATATATAAATATTGCAGTACTTTTATCAGTAGGTTATAAACTCAATCACCGTTGTGTAATCAGACTTAACCGACTTTATTTAAATGAAAATCTCTGAGATTGGTACTTTAAAACTACAAAGTCAAAGTGGTCATCAAAGAGTGCTGTGAAGCATTTTCAGTTCAATTCAATTCAATTCAATTCAATTCAATTCAATTCAATTTGACTGTATTTGTATAGTGCAGTTTACAACATGTCATCACATAGCGCTTGGCAAAGTAAGGTAGAGACATAACAAGTTCAAACAGACAACCCAACAATCCAAAGTAGGCTTTGGACTCCTTCCGAGCAAGCAGTTGGTAACGATGTGCCAAAGTCACATATTCTTTAAAGTAGCTGCAATGTATCACAGCAGGATGTGTGATCATTTTAACATGGTGCAAGTCTGAACTAAATCTTGTCACTGTCGCCTGTTTCCCACCGTAAGAACCTGTGAGCTGCTGCAGGGCGACCTGAACCTCTGTGCATGTTCTGACTGCAGGAAGCCCTGAAAGACTGCTGTGCAGGGCTCGATGTTGTTGACTTCAGCTCCAAGAGGGCAGAAAAATGATGCTTGTTGTCCTCTCTGTGTAGTATTGCCATTAAGCGTTAAACATTGATGAAATTTGACATATAGGCTACATATCAAACGGTCCATTGTGAGTCGTAGCAGAAGCTGTTAGATCTCCCACTGTGATGGAAACAGAAAGACTAAAAGTTCCTGCACGGAAAAGCCTCCCAATAAAGATGCAGCAGCACAAGGTTGATTCTCACTCTGCCTTTTAAAGAGCACTGTAAATTTATATTCATCACTGTATCACAAAAAAGCATGTAATAAGCCCTGAAGCACGGTGAAAGACTGTGTTTTAAGTTAGTCTGTTAAAAGGATGTTCCACTCACAGTGTGGGATAAAGCAGCCCTGGCACAATAAGAACCAGCCCAGCTCCTTGAAATTTCAGCGTTTATCCGTGCCACCTGCATGGACAATATTATAAATCCCCAGCAAACACTGAGCATACAGCATGTGAGCAAACAGGAATTAGACAAGAGTCCTAACTTCATCATTTGGTGTCTGTGCACTGAGGAAGCTGCATCCTTTATCTGAAAAATGATGAAACTGATGAGAAAATGCAGCCGGTGACTCACTGTTTGACGTTGAGCCAAGCACCGCTCGCGCTCACTACGGTCATTAATGACGGCTTCAGTAGCAAAAGAGGTTTTAAAAGCCATCAGTGCTGCAGCCTGTGAGAGAACAGAAGATGCTCTTCTGCTTTCATATTATTTTCCATCTCGCTGCAGTGACACCTCAAAAGCCACCTGGACACTGAGAGAAGCCTTGGACATCTACTGTATGAAGGCAGCAGTTTATTACATCGCAGAAAAGACGTGATGTAGTTCAATTTTGAGGATTTTAAAGATATAAAAAGTGTAGGCTGCACACATTATGTCAATCCTGCCAACCTGTGTTTGCGTTGTGCTGGTAGAACCGTAAAAAAAATCATTCCTTTTCTCCTTTAAAGATTCTTGTAAAGTTTATGATTACAGTTTCAACACTCCAAACCCAGCACCAGAATAAAGAATAGTGTCCTTGTTGCTAATCCATGGTGACTTTCAGCTGACAAAGTAGTACCTTTGAAAACTGACCTTTATGATTATTATGCGAAAAGTGGCTTTTTGTGTTGATTGGGTGCTAATCTCTTCTACAGCTCTTCAGATTGATATATTGGAAGAAGTTTTTGTGTTTAATCTTGGATTTTGCAGCTTTGATGCTCGGGTCTTGACAGCACCGAAGCTGTTGGGGAATTGATACCAATCCAAGCTTTTCTCAGAGATTCAAAGCATTTTTCTCAGCTTAATTCACGCCCTTATTACCTGGATGTCCGGTGGGATTTCCCAGCAGATGTCAGCCTTCAAAATTAGTTTTATCACCGAGATGCAGCTCTGCGGCGTTGTGTAAGACTGTCGAGAAGGACTGTCATGTCTGTGAAAGCGTGAAGTGTTTACCTCCTCGGCAAGATGCTGACATGACTGCCTGTTTATTTGTTTAGACGTTCGATCTTCTACGCATTAAACCTGACGGACCCGCTGTGTCAACTCACATGCGCCTGCTTGTCATGCGCATCATTTAATGTAATTAACGTATGCTATGCTGTAATCCAGTCAGATTAACGTTGAGCTCTGCTCCGCCTTCTCGCAGATTGTCAGCGTCGGGAAACATGTCAAAGGCTACCATTACATCATGGCCAACCTGGTGAGGGAAAGGACAGTTTTTCTTCTCATTGTGTCCTTCTTTGTTTGCCTCTAATCATATGTGTTTCCCTCCATCTCTGTCTATTGTTGCCTCATGCTGCTTACTGCCTCCTCCCTGTGATTTGTTCAAACACTGTGTGGTATTGATCTGAACACTGTGTCCCTTAAAGGCCTGACTCCAGGACTAGATGCTCAAACAGATCCAATACTGGCACCCTCACATGGAAGCAAAGAAAGCCTCCAAAATATTTAAACTTTCTTCTTTCTTCTTTCTTTCTTCTGAAGACTGAATTGTGAGATTTAACTTCAAAGTACTGAAATATCACTGAATGTGTAGCGTTACAATATCTTAGTTTCTAAACCAATGTGGTTTGAAGTCCCCTCTTCTAAATTTTCTGCATACATGTGATGCAAATCTACTTTTATTTTGTTTTTCAGGTCCATAATATCAGATAGAAATAGAGTGCAAGTTTCCAGTCAGTCAGTCTGGGTTCAAGTGAATAAGAGAAATAGGAATGTGCACAATTAGTCAATTAAATCATTTCTATCCTTGCTAGCTGGCACCAGACGTACTCGTCGATTAAGCAAATTATTGTCTTATGTTTTATGTGCAACACTGGTTAATTGTTGCAGGTTGCGCAGCCTCATTGTGACTGCACAAATGTTCAGACTTTGCAAACCAGCAATGTGGAAGATAAGATAATAATATGCCTTTATTTATCTCACGGTGGAGAAATTCACAGTGTTGTCAGCAGCAGTACACACAGAGATACACACACACGAGAAATAGAAATTTACACATAAGAAATAGTGCAAATATATAAAAAAGAATAGTGCAAGCACAGACTATAATAAAAATGAGGGTATAAAAGATATAAAAAAATGAAGAATGAAGATATAAAAAGAAGAAGAAGAAAAGTATTTAACATCTTGTTAAACCAGTGCATTTTGAGAGTTTTTTTTTTTTTTTTTTTTTTTTTAATCTTGAAAATGAAAATATGGTTGTTTGTCTGCATAAATTGGCATTTAACCATCCGTCCGATGCATGCATGGCCACGTTCAACACAGGCATGTGAACGTTAATCTGCAGTATTTTAAATATTTTAGAGGCTATTTGTAAGCTTTGTTTAATGAGTTGTTTTCATGTTTTGCAGGATAATGTGTAAAATTCACATGCAGGGCACATAGTGTCAGACACTACAATCCCTTTAAAATCCCATTTGTTCGTAACAGAATGTGGTTCATGGTTCAAAATGACTCTTGAATACAAACAATATTTCTTCTGACAGTGTTTGACCCTGTAGTTTTCTAAGTGTTTCTTTTGAACTAGTCAACTGGGCTTAAATTCAACTTTTTTATTTAACAGGTTAATTCATCATTAGGAACAAACCCTGGTAAATGTTGAGTGTTATAGAACAGTTAAATCTGGTATTCAATTCCTTTGAGGGTTTATATTAAAACGGCTGTTCTTTGCTTTCCATGTGCCTCGACCACTAGGCTATAAATAAATAAGTAAATAAGTAAATAAATAAATAAATAAATAAATACTTCAAAAATTTAACCATAATTGCAACTCTAACAGACAGTTTTAGCAAAATTCAATAAATACAAAAATAATAATAATAATAATACAAATAATAAGACAAACAGCATTTAGCCCTGATCCTGGACTGTTACAGGACAAACTAAAACTATCACATGGAGCCTCACATGTTTAGTTTTTGAGGCTACTTAACTTTATTACAGTCAGAATGAATCACTATGACTGACAATCTTGCAGTGTTGTACAAACTTTTCCAAGAAGCAGACAGTGGTTACACTCAAGAGTCATCTGGTCCCCGAGTGGCTTTAAGTGCACTTTTTGCACTTTGAAATTAGGATTATATTTACATGCAGGACAATCTGCTGCATTGTCATCTTCAGTTAGGCAAAACAAAATATTTTTGGGGGCAGCAGAGTGATGCACTGGTTACCAACAAGACGGCCATTCTTCCCACACATGGTAGATTAAATGGTGATTCTAAATTGGCTTTAGGCTTGAATGGTTGCATGCCTTTCTGTTTTGGCCTTCGGATGAACCAGTAACTAGGCCAGGGTATATTCTGCCTCTTGCCCAGTTGAGGCAGAATATGGCTGGGATGAACTCCTGCACTCTGCAGTCTTCTACAGAATGGGGCAGGTATATGGGCAGGTAATGGATGAATAAATGTGTTTGGGATGAGACGTTTGCCTGGTAATTTTGAATACATCACTTCTGGCCCTGGGAAATTACAGTTCGATGGACAATTGTGATGTTTTATATCGTTAGCTGCAGCGCTAATGTCCAGATAATGAAAGAACGGGGCAAGTTTAACTGTGCATATTAACCTTTATCTCTCTTATTCATCCTTTTACCTCCATTTGTTATACGGCTGAAAGCATCAAAGCCTTCAGATATTGTGTTTTGCATAAATTGTCAGTGGCAGTATGCTTAGAAATCATTCAGAAAATTGCCTGAGCTACTTAACTTCTCATCTCACGATGCACTTTATCACCTCCCTGCCTTAAATAGATTTGTCACGGTGGCTGTAATCTCAGTCCAGCAGGTGAACTTTGGGATTCAGCCCATCTCACCTGGATTTCTTTTTCATGTGCCAGCTGAGTGTTGCAACATCCAACTGTATAGACTGCTGTGACATTTAGCATCTCTGTAAGACTTCCAGGAATGTAATATGTAGCATGATAGTCCTGGATCAGGGCTAAAGAGTAGGTTTTACATGCTTTTACTCCCCAAAGTACAGTAAAGAAATCAATTCAACTGTAATTTAGTGGTAGTTGGTTGAAAGTTACGAGCTAATAATGTAATAAAACCAAGTGATCAATACCTGCTTCGGCTTTCATCGTCCTTGGTGTTACTTCCTTATTGCTGTCTAAAGTTGATGGATTCATGACCGGCCATGACCACTTTCTCTGCTCGTTGCGCCCTCAAGGGTTTTAAGGACATCAACCTGGAGCGCTTCATGCACGGCGGCGCCAACGTGACGGGCTTCCAGCTGGTCGACTTCAGCAACCCCATGGTCATCAAACTGATGCAGCGCTGGAACAAGCTGGATCAGAGGGAGTACCCCGGCTCGGACGCCCCACCCAAGGTATGTCCAGATCAGAAGAAATCATATCAGCGGTGTGACGTGACACTGATCTAAAACCACGAGACAGATCATTAATGTCTGGACTGTATGGTTATACAAAGATTGAAGATAATTTACGCCATAGACTCTGATGTGTAGAGCTATTATTCCAGTAGTGAAAATGGACCACATAAGAGCAGGTCCACATCAAAAACCAATAAGCTAAGTTTGGTCAAATCCAGACTATACTGTCATGCAGAGGTTAAAGTCTCTTGAAAGTACAATTTTTGAATTGTACAACTATTATTCTATTTTTTTAAATGCAAAAAATTGAGATTTCATTCCTTTTTGTTGACATCTAGATTAAAAAAAAAAAAAAAAAACACTACTCAGATGGGTCAAATCTGGACTACATTGTCTCAGAGATGCTACAGACTCTTTAAAACATTTACGTGTCACTAGGAGGAGGAGCCCTTCTGAAAACCCCCTGATGGTGGATTCAGAGATGTTACAAAATCAAATATATGAAGCGACAAACATGAAGATCATATGAATTTACTCCTATCATACCAACAACAAAAAAAAAAAAACATCTGTGCTCAGAGGCTAACTCGTTGATCCCACATGTGAGATTTCGAGCGAGTATCGAATTGATTTTCAGTCTGAAGTGAAATTAAGTGAAACCAACAGGCACCTAGAGGGGAGGAAACGTATCTAAAACTGGTGCCGTGGATTTCAACAACAGTGTGCAGTAAATTACATTCTGTTTGTAGGTAATGGACTGAAACATGCAAAAGCCTTTTAATAACCCCTCTGGGGCAGTTAAAACAGCAAAAATAAAGCAACGGTGAATATAATTAAACATTCGGCATATGAAATGAAAAGAATTGGAAAGAACAGCAACAAAATCCACTGAGACAAACACCAAAACTGGGTTAAAATTGGTATCTATGGTTAAACACATCCACGCGGGGAACAGGCATCATCGTCAGCAGCCTGCTCAGCTTCGTCCACCACTGTCACATGCAGCGATGTGACAGACTGACCCACTTTGAATTCTTTTCAGCTACACAGATTGCAAATGGCACTGGGGCAAGAAGGCATCACGCCATGGTGGTTAGCAACCTCCTCCCTCAAGCCAAATCTGTGTGTCCAACAAAGATTTCTATTTTAAAAACCAGATGCAGTGGAGTGGAAGTGGTGTGAGTCAAGCAGATTGTGTAGTGTGTGTGTGTGTGTGGGTGTGTGTGTGTGTGATGGATCGGGCTTCAAATTAAAAGTTTACACCACGGGGCGATATCACATGACATGATGTGTATGTGTTTGTGCTATCTCCCCGTGTGTGTTTATCCCCCACTCCGTTTCTTGATAAATTGCTCTCTCTCCTGGAAATCCACTCAGCCTAAATTACTCTGCTCCCCACTAAGTTGTCCACAGTCTGAGTCACAGTCAGCCCTTCTTTCTGCTAATATATTAACACTACGGCGAGTTTGGCCTTCTTCTGGCCCGTTTACTCACTTTACTAAGACAAATGTGGCGTCTGGTATTTAAAAGTTCCAGGAATCAGCAGGTAGTGAACGAATAAGAGCTTCTTGTGCTACGTATTATGGCAAGCTTTGACGTGAAGATCCAGGAGCTATCAGACCTTGTTTACGCATCATTTTAACACACAGGGCTCCAAGTGGTGCAGTCAAAAAGTTCTGATGCTGTTTCATTGAGTGAGCAGTAACGGTTAGGATTTCGAGTGATGTTGCGTTTTCAACATCTGGACCTGTGTTGCATGCTTTTGTGGCTATTGGTACTTGTATATTTGTAATTGTTTCATTTTACTTAAACTGGAGTAGAGAAGAAAACATCATATTTTGTGAAAGGTCTTGTCAAATATCATTGCTGGTGACTAGTGGTGGGTCTGCGGCTACAATCAAGAGAAGAAACAGCACTTTTTTCTCAGTTTTAAGTCGCACTGGGAGCATGCTTGATGTTTTTTGCAACATTCCATTGGTGGTGCATCAGAAATCAGTCCCTCAGGGTAGGAAAGTTAATGTGGAGTTCTACTGTAACATCTGGAGGCATTTGAAAGGGAACATATGGCACAAATGACCTAAACTGTGTCACGATGGCATGTGGACAATGCACCGGCAACAACATGATGATTCTGCGTGGGCTGTAACAACACAATCGTCGTTCTCCATCCACTTTACTTGCCAGATTTGGTTCCCTGAGCCTTCTCCTTCATCCCTAAAATGAAATTTGAGTTGAAGGGTTGCCATTTTGACACAGTTTAGGAGAGTTTAGTGCCCAGCAGAGATGGTGTTTGGCATGTCTGCATACCCAGACATCCAGGCTGTTTTAGAGGCGTCACAGGAGCACTGGGAGCAGTGTATCACTGCACAAGGAGACAGCTTTAACAAAGATGGTGGCCACATTTAAATCAGGCACAGGTTTTGGTTTTTCTATCTACAGTCCCAGAACTTTGTGATCGCACCTCATATTTTAACTTGTGACAAGCACAAAGTGATCAGTCTTGGGTGCACTGGCTTTGTTTGAATCTCCAAGTGCTATTTTGTGTCATGTAGGCTGAAGTTCAACATATGTCATGTGGTGTGGTGAATATTGAAGCAATCTTATCCTAAAGCAGCTGTGTGAAACATGACAAACGCCTCAACAAATGGACAAGACTTTTGAATGGTGTGGAGCGGTGCAACTTCATGTTCAAGTACAGTTATATGATCAAATGCAACAAAATACATCTGCCCCAGCTCTTCAAGCCCTTGCAGAAACATATAAATGAAAATAAATGCAACATGTTTTTATGTAAAGTGCTTACTGTTCAGTAATCTAAACGCCTGGGGGTAAGAACTCTTTGAGGCAGCTGGTCTCAGCTCTGATGCTCTGTAGTTTTTGTTTTCCTGAGGGATGAAATGAGAACCAACCCCGTGCTCGGTGGCCAGTGTCCTCCATAATACTTCAGGCTTTCCTTCTTCAGCAGGAAGTGTAAATGGTTTTCATATGTGGGAGCACAGCTACTATGATTTTCACAGCCAAGTTTTCTGTCCTTGTTCGGTCACGTTGCCAAAGCAAGAATCTGACATTTCAACAAAGACGTCATTGATGGTGCTGAAATGTTTTGGACTTCCACAATTATCGCCTTAGTTTCTTCAACATTAAACACCTCCCTTGGTAGAAATCAAGTTTCTTACCTTATTAACATGTCCATATTGAGTTTTTTTTTTTTTTTTTTTTTTGTTTTTGCTGACTCTTTGTGCTTTGCAATGTACATTTTACTGACTACAACTACTGACACATAAACCACATCCATCAGTTGGGAACATGAACATATTTGCCCAGTCATAACAGAGCAACTTCAAATGTCGGATTCATTTCTAAACCAAGATTGAGTGTCCAGCCCCAGATTTCAACCCCTGCAGACTTCTAGATTACCGATTTGTTCTGCAATTCAAATAGTCTAGCTATCTGCGAACCACACAGATAGTTTATGTGAAGCTGCTAAATGGAAAAGGAAAAACCCGTTCAAGGCAGCATTCGTAGTGAAGATGAAGATGTGACAGAGCTGATAGCAGTGAAGCTCCTGACTGTTAGTGAGTTTACCCCGCACCTTAATTCTTTGTCTGTGTGCGTGATACTGTGGGCAGCTTGTCAGGGAGTAACAGAGGGATAGAGTGCAGCGTAGAGAGCCATAATGTCACAGTGAGCAGTGGGCTAATGAATAGGATTCACCCCCGGCCGGAGGCAAAGTTAATGAACTCCTGCTAGCCGGGATAATTAATGCCAGACTGCTACCCGGCTGGACAAAACACTCGCCTTTTCCCTTTCTTTTCCGCCCGGCTTGCTCTCCATCTCGCTGCCTTTTCGTCATTCACTCAATTAGTTTTGTGCTGAGCCGGAGGTGAGTTTTAGGGAAATGTATGGCTCACGAGGGAGAGAGTGATTTTTGTGGACCCAAATAATCAGATTCAACACAGAGTCTTCAGGTCAAAGATAGATTAGGGGAAATTGGGAGGCTCATCCTGTGGGGAATGTGCTCCTCTCCTCCCTCCCCTCTCCTCCTTTCCATTTCCAGAAAATAATGAGCAGAGTAAAACTGCTGCCTCTCTGTAACTGCTCGGCCCTGCAGAAACTCGACGTGCTCACAGAGGCAGCCGTGTGCAGATTGTTTTTAAAAAGATCTGACCAGCAAATATTGCAGAACATTTTGCCTGTCCGGCTAAATCAGCATTTAATTAGCTTCATACCTTTTTTCCCGGCAAGTGTCCCCCGGAGCTGCAGACACCCAGAACAGTCAGAACAGCCGGGTGGCCTCAGGTAGCCCACGCTGCCATTCACCAATCATACAATCTGTCCCTGCTGGCTCTTATTTCATTTTAATAAATCTAATAGAGCAGAGTTTAACCGGGATTCCAGCTGCAGAGCTTTAAAGTGGATGTAGAGTTTTTCTCTCTTTTTTTAAGGTGCAGATAATCCAGCTGTGGGCACAAAATGTAACATCTGCATCTTGTCCTGTCCCACAGTATACCTCGGCGCTGACTTACGACGGGGTGATGGTAATGGCCGAGGCCTTCAGGAACCTGCGCAGGCAGAAGGTGGACATTTCCAGACGGGGGAACGCTGGCGACTGCCTTGCCAACCCCGCCGCCCCGTGGAACCAGGGCATCGACATGGAGAGAACCCTCAAACAGGTGAGAGCAACAAGATCATGTCAAGTCAAACGGGATTTATAGTTAAAATATGCAGGTTTAATAATTCGAGCAAAAATACTAGTTTTTACATATAGAAGCAAAAATTACTCTGAAGGCACAGAAAGCTTTGAACGGGAGCTTTAAAGCCAAAGGGTTTACAAATGAATTAAAATGAGGTAATCTATCATTGACTTGCAAAGGTTTCACTTGTACATTTAATCCTCTGAACTCCATCAGTTTCAGTTTTTTTGTTTCCGTCACATTTTTACTTGCTGTGGCCTCATTTTTAACTACAATATAAAATCCTGCACCTTTTTGGAAACATCACAACCATAGCTAGAAGAAAAGAGAACTTAAAAATGTCCTTTGTGCAGCAAGGGAAAGTTATATTGCTATAAATCATATGGAAAAAACAAAAAGAAAATTACATTTCTTTGATTGTTTATTTTACAAAAATTGAATAAAACCCAAGAATCAACATGTACAACATTTTCCCACATACCAGTGGGTGTTACTGATACTGGAAAATAAACAGTGACTTTTTTAGTTTTGATATTATATTTACTACTTACATTTTTAATTTGCCTCTGTGCTTGTGTCCTCTCTGCTCTGGGTAAACACAGCCTGCAGTTCAATCAAAAAGAATCTTGACAGTTATGCTGAGGAGTGCAGAAATTTTCGTTTTTTACAGAATACGGTTCGTCCAAATGGTCTATTTTTGGTGGATTTTTAAATGACACATGTACAGTGAAGTGATTTTACTGAAATATCCCAATTTTATGTTGAGATTTGGGTGTGTTTTCTGACTGAACAGTACTTTACAGATGATTAGTTCTGATAAATGGTATAATTTTGGTGATTTTTTTAAAAAACAACATGCCTTTTATAATCTCACTAGGAGTTTTGGGGGTTCAGAGGGTTGAGAGGGTATATTTTCCAAATAAAATACTCAAAAGTAAATGTGTTTTGAATCAACAGGGATCATATTAATTGAGAAAAGTTTATCTGTAAAAGTGTACATATTTGAAAGCAATACATAATGATTGAGAGCCCTACTACATTATATTCCATTATATTTAGGGTCCGAGCACCCAAAAAGGTGTGAAGACCCCATTGGAACTGCTCTGGTTTTTATTATCATTAGTGACAATGAAACGCGTTTTTGAGGTCCTTAACGTACTCGCACACACACATAACTTAGCACACACATCAGACCCGGTGAAAAATTGTATAATTAGGGGGAAACACACACACCTCAAGAGAAAAATGGCTTAACAGCACCACCTACAAAATTACTAAAAATGGGCCCCCAAACACACTTTCATGTACAGCCACGAAACTCAGCACACACGTAACAACTCGTGACATACAAGTCTCAAGAACACATACCCGAAATGCAACAGGAAGTCGGCCATTTTGGAAAAATCGTCCATTTTTGGTCATTTTCAAAATCTATCTCCTCCTGGGGAGTACGTTGTAGACATTTCAAATCTGGCCAGCACAAACTACACGATGTGGTGATTAAAAGTTATTAAAATGAGCCGCAAAAGTCTGACGGCGTGGAAATGGGGGCCCGTGTAATTTCTATCAATGGCCATTTTGCCCATTTTCGCGGTGTTTCCAACATTCAGCAGAGTCCCGTCGGAAGGCCGTTTCACCTACAGCTACAAGATTCGGTGGGCATGTCTAGCAGGTCAGGACACACAAAGAAGTCAATCAGAGCCATGTCCTAAACCTAACAGGAAGTCCGCCATTTTGAAAAAAAACACGGTCAGAATTTTGCGATTTTCGCTCATTTTTGGCCATTTTTGGCCATTTCCAAAATCTATCTCCTCCTAGGGTGAGCGTTGTACACACCTGAAATCTGTCAAGCACAAACTACAAGACGTGGTGATTAAACGGTATTAAAACACTTCACAAAAGTCTGACAGCGTCAAAATGGCGGCCTGTAGAATTTCGCCAAAACGCCATAAAACGCAATTAAATGGGATGTGCTGTGTAACCAGCCTGTGAGTGCTCCCATCGACCTGAAACTTTACACGCGTGCTCCGAGTCTCAGCCAGAGCGCGTTACCAGTACGCCACGTCATGCCACACACGCCACCACGGCTCGCCACGAAACAGGAAGTGGCTCGTAACTAGGCCGCATGTGCTTCGATCTGCCCCAAACTTGACACGACGGATCAGAGTCCCACCAGGAGCACGTTAGCACCACAATATGAAGTGCGCAAAGGTGGACAATCATACTGTGAGGACCCGTCCAATGTTGCTTGCGGCTTTAATTTGAATTGTTGTACCAGCATAAACTGATGGAGAAAACTAACAAATTTGGTGCATAAAAAAATCACAAGATTGCAGGAAATTTAGTGTAATTTCCTGGACAATGTTTCCCCGAAATGTTCAGACAAAACGTGCACACATGGACGTATGTCATAGGCTTTGCTTCATAGTTCAGTGCTGGATTTTTTTTATCCGTAGCACCACCACAATACTGGATGTATCAAACAAGATTTAATCATAATTCCTGTGTTTCATTCACTAATACAGGGCAGAGGCTGGTTGGGAACAGAAGGTTTCCAGCGGAGACGTGTTTGTTTGGATGTGTTATTGAAAAAGCGAAGATAACCGGGATACTTTTCAACTCGCTTCATGTTGTATTCACTCTGATCTTCACAATCGTAGCCTCGACATGTAGTTACACTTTTGAAGAGGCGCTTAGGTGCAGCGCAACCCCTCAGAGCACGCACGAGTATAGTTGAAGCTCCGCTCTCTGAAAGCATATCTCCCAAAATATTGAACTATTCAGCTAATGCCCTCAGACCAGTTAGAAGTGCATTTCAGCCACGTGACGCTCGGCGAGCTCAATGGAGGGAGCAAAACAATCGTTCATTGCATCCGTCTGTTATATAAAAGCCCTTGAATACTTACTGTAAACACTCTTGTTTTTTAGACTGAATGAATGAAAACTATTTGCATGTCCTTGCTGGCTACATCATGTCATGTTGTGTTTGTATTTCTGTGTGCAGGTCCGGCTGCAGGGATTAACAGGTAATGTCCAGTTTGACCACTATGGCCGCAGGGTCAACTACACTATGGACGTGTTTGAACTGAAGAATAATGGACCCAGACGGGTAAAACATCACACCACACTGCTTTCATTTGTGTTGTAGATGAATGTTTGTCTAAGTGAAGTCATTAGTACTGTGTGTTTTAGCTAGGACTGTGTAGACTCTGTGGTTTCAGCTACACAATATAGGGTTTCTGAGAGAATAAAGAGATGTGCACATAAGTGGGGGGGAAGAAATTATGCAAAATTGAATGATCTTATTGGGAGAATAAGACTTCACAATTCGTAAGAAGAACGGTTGGAAAATATCTTAAAGAGCCTATATTTTCCTTTTTTCCCTTTTCTTTAATGTGTTATAGAGCGGATTTTTCTGCACACAAAAGGTGCAACTTACTAAGTTCACGCCAAATGCTACTCCCTAACTGCCTGAAACCCCTCATTTAAAGTCCAGACTTTTCTTCTGTTACTCATCACCAGGTAACATATTTGCATATGACTTTCCTGGTGCCTAGTTTGGCCTCAAACAAAGAATGAGCAGCTTCCGTTGCAAGCTGCATCCTAATAAATCTCTTGTTAAGGTATGTAGCTAATATTACCTTGCTAACGACGGGCCAGCTGACCAATCAGAGCAGACTGGGCCTTTCAGGAAGGGCATCTTTAAGAGACTGAAATGGAGCATTTCAGAGAGTTTTTACAGGTGCTATAGCAATGTACAGCATTAGAGCTGCAACTAAACAACTGTTTTCATTGTTGAGTAATCTACTGATTACTAGTTGTTTGGTCTATAAAATGTAATAACACGGTGAAAAGTGTTGATCAGTGTTTCCCAAAGCCCAAGATGACAACTGTCTTGTTTTGTCCACAACTCAAAGATATTCAGTTTATTGTCATAGTGGAGAAAAGAAAATAGAAAATATTCAATATTAAGAAGCTGGAATCATAGAATTATCATGTTTTTTTTCTGAAAAATTGCTCAAACTTTCTAATTTCTTAAGCATTGTTGGTGATCAAAAGAATAATTGCCAAGTAATAGATTAGCTGATAAACCATTGCAGCTCTCTACAGTATGAAAATAGCAATGTGTATTTTGAACATTGAACTTTAACAGTGCATAATTATGGGTCCTTTAAACTGGAAACATCCCTGTTGGCTCAGAGTGCATTTTTAGCTGCAGTCTGGTCAGGACTCTTGGATTTCATGAAGATAATGGATTATTATGCAGTGAAGCTAAACATTAGACTGAAAGTAAACATTTGATTTAAGATAAGACAGTTTTAGAGTGTCTTGAGTACATGCATGGTCCTGTTAATTCTATCATTTTTGTAGGAATTGTAGGTATTCTACACTTTTAACCAAGCCGTCAATTGATGGTTTTTCACAGTAGAGCCAAACATAGACTGTATATAAAAGATGGATGTAGCGACATCACCCATTGCTTTTTAGAAACTGGTCTGAAGACTTGAACTTGGAATTTATCTGTTGCCATATTGGCTTTTTGAAACCATACATAACAGATGAGGGGACAGTGCGATGTGACAGCACAGTAGCAACCTTCCAATCACAAGGTAGTCCCACCTGACAACATACACCCTTTTATTTTCTATGAAGCTTTTTAATAGGGCCATAATTTACAAAATAAACACCATGCTGTATTGAAGAAGACTTGAAACATGTGATTGGCACCATAAACTCATCAGAAATATGGTCACTGAGGTAACAGATCAAGTGTAAAGTGAGGACTTTTTTTTTTTTTTAGACTTCTGTTGTTTTTGCAACCAGACGTGTCGCCCCCTGCTGGCTAGTTGAAGGAATGCAGATTTAAATCCATTTTTCAGACCGAGTGGCTACATCCATCTTTCATGCACATTCTCTGGTATAACCTTGTTTAGCATTCTCATTTCTACTGGTTGCTGTTTCTCACAATGCTGGCCAGAGCTGACAGATGTCTATTAAAGATGCACTGAGGCTTAAATAAGTCACCTCTAAACAGTAGCTTTACTGGTTTCCAAAAAGCTGCTTTATTTCCAAACACCAAAAAAGTCTCGTTATGAGCTAATATGACATTGTGGAAACTTGGGTGCACATCCTTGATTGCTTGTACAAAGAGAAACCTGCCTATATTTCCTTACATGTTTAAAGATGTGAGCAGACTGCTGTCATGTGAGGTATCCAGGAGGCGGTTGGCACGATGCAATATGTAGTGCGCCATTTTATGTTATAATAAGTAGGTTGTAAAAAAAAAAAAAGCTTCAGCCTCTGCCAGCATCTCTGCTTCTGGTATGAGAGGATGGATGTCTGTGGATGAAATTCGGGGGAAAATGGGAAAAATAGAGTGAGTGAGAGAGAGAGAGAGAGAGAGAGAGAGAGAGAGAGCACTTGTGAGAGTGATGGGGAGAGGATGAAATGAAATAGAAAGCAATCAAGGTGGAGGGGAGGAGGAGGAGGAGGCCGAGAGAGGTTCCCATCAATCTTCTGCTGCTTTGGCCTGTCGTCCTACAGCACAGCGAGGGTCCTGTCAGGACACGCTCGGTGTTACTGTGTGTTAGTGTGTGTTTCAGTGTGTGTCAGTGTGTGTTACTGTGTTTGCGGGTCACAGCTTCTCTCCTACATTTTTCCACGTCCCTCACAGCACACACAGGAGAAATCAGCCAATTGCGGCTCTCCATCCCCAGCCGCTGACTTATAGCTGCTCTCAAAGCTATAAGATCAATACATCAGTTTGGCACAATATTGCATTTTTATTTTTATTTTTAACTGCCACTCAGCGCCATGCAGCTCCTCTTCTTCAGTCGCCAGATGCTCCTATTGTGACCACAACATAACAGTTTGTGTCAGTTCCAGTCGGTCACTTCGACCCCGAAGGATTTCTGGATGATGATGTCGGCTGAAATAGCTTTTGGACAAAAAGAAGCATCACAACATTGATCCTGAAACAGGCATCTTGCATGAGGGAGTTTAATCCGAAGGCCGGGCATTAATTCAGTGTCACCACTTGCTGTCTTTAAGTGGCCTCGCAGCGTGATGTGATGATACTTTAATGTGCATGTGACAGAGTCTTTTCTCTGGGTGCCTCTGAAGAGGTTTTAGCCGAAATCACAAGCGCCAAACAAGAATTATTGAGTATAATAACAGCAATTCGTTTTTTTTCAAAACAACTTTATTAATTTACTCAAGCATTACAGACATTTTTTTTCCTCAAATGCTCAGAAATAAGTGGAAAATCTGCTGATATCTGCCGAATAAGGCTACACAGACGAATTGCTTTCACTGCACATTCTCACTGTCATACATACTCACCTCTCAAAGCTCAGCTCTGGACCACTAGAAACCACTGTATGAGATGTACAGTACAAATGGACTAAATTTATTAAAAACTGTAAAATAATTTTCGAACATAAGCAGAGAACTGGAGTTTTTTCCAAAGCTGCTTGTGGGAACGCCATTCATTGATGAAGACGATGCGATTGAACGTTCTGCACACAGTTATTAATAAACTTTAATTAGGCTATCATGAAAAATGCTATTCAAAAAACAAAAGCAGTTCCAGAAAAGAAAAATTAGAAAACATAGGTTGCAATGTTGAGGAACAACTGTTTGCCAAAATATTAGGATGGATTTTTCCATGAAATAGCATTTTCTCCTGAAGTAACATGTTGTATGTTATATGTAATTATAACTTTATTCTCACCAATATTAGAACTTAGAAGTACCCAACCTTAGGAATCTCAAATAAAAGTCAGTTTTCAAGCTTTTTCTTAACTTTCAACCACTGATACACCTCCTTTGATATTAAAACAGGTGTTTTTACAAGAGAAAAGACAGAAAAGAAAACAGAACCTCCAACAAACTACTAAGTGAAGCTTTGATTTAAGATTCTGCCAGATCTTACCTATACCTTAATTCTGGAGAAAAATAAATAGATTTTACCCATAATCCTTGAAGTTAGGTTGGGAAACAACAGTTTATTAAAACTCTAAGGATCTAGCATGTTAATTTTCAACCACCTTGTACCAACTTTTAAATAACAGAATAAAATGCGCTTCATATTTCCCATAGCGTTAATCACACGCAGAGCGTCCATCGTCTCACGCTGCACTAATCTGATGACTATATGACTGCACTAATCTGATTCTTAAACAAGACGGATGCTACATGTACAAGTTCTCATGCTGGATTAGTGGAGATCAGATGTCATTAATTCCAAAGCAGGTGAAAATGATGAAGAGTGTGTCCCCTTTAAAGCTGTTAGATCCACAATAGATTCATGGGATTTTTCCAAACTGATGAAAAACGCACTGCTGTTAAATCCCAAAGTGGGAACTACATACATGACAGCCCACTCATACATAAAATATTTAATGAAAATTTCATTATTTCAATAGCAATTTTTTTTTTTAAATTTTTTCCGCAATGAAAAATTAAATTAAGATTTTTTCTTTTGGTTTTAATGAAGACTATGATGAAACATGTCGCTTTTTTCAGCCATTTCTCTCCAAAATAAATCATTTTGGCTGCTCATAATCATATAGCTGCATGATCACTGTTGGACTTTTTTTCAAATCATGAAAACTAAATTTGCATCAAAGTTCGTATAGACAGGTCTCGCCACTTTATAATGCTCCCAGGTGGTTATTTCAAGCTAACAAGGCCAAGTCTTTATCTAAATGACTAGTTAGAGAGACATAGCTGTAATTTCAATGGTCACCAGGACATAAAAACTGCATGTATAGAATCACTGGTTGCACTTGAATAAAAATGCTTTAAAAGTTTTACCAAAATAAGGTTTAAAAGAGTGTGTTGCCCTGATGATTTCACAACATCGTGCTTGCTTCAATGCATGTTTGTGTAGGCACTGACCACTCTACAGCAGATCTTCTTTTTCTTTTTGGCCAAAGAATTCCACAGATTTCAATTCAGGATTCTTTAAGTGGCGAGTCTCTCCCTTATCAGTCTGTCTAAAACCAAGCTTCTCATTTTCTTTCTCATGAAAGTGAGAAGCTTGTTCACAATCTGTTGTCTGAGGACACTTGGATACACGAAAGATTTGGCTTTCCTCCATGTTGTTACGTCCAATTCTCTTCATGCAAAACATCCCTGTTGTTCTCATGTGGCATCGCACAAACAAGAAAGTTCCACCAAAATAATGGCACATAACTTGTGTATTTGGCATAATGTGGCATATTTGTGCAAACGAGTTGCATCTCATACTTTGTTTTCTCTGCAGATCGGCTACTGGAACGACGCAGACAAACTGGTGCTGATCCAGGACTCTCCACTGCTTCCAAATGACACTTCTGGCATGGAGAACCGCACTGTTGTAGTTACTACCATCATGGTAAGAGACCGGCATGTACTCGCCAACACACACACACACACTTATACACACACACACACGCATGCAGAAATACTCTTTGCAATTTGTACTGCCATAAGATGTTAGTACACACATGGACAAAATAGTTGGTACCCCTCGGTTAATGAAAGAAAAACCCGCAATGGTCACAGAAATAACTTGAATCTGACAAAAGTAATAATAAATAAAAATTCTAAAAAATCAGACATTGCTTTTGAACCGTGGTTCAACAGAATTATTTTAAAAAATAAACTCATGAAACAGGCCTGGACAAAATGATGGTACCCCTAGAAAAGACTGAAAATCAATCAAGGTGGGTCCTCTAATTAGCATCACAGGTGTCTACAAACTTATAATCAGTCAGTCAGACTATTTATAGGATGACAGGTAGTCACTGGGCTGTTTGGTGACATGGTGTGTATCACACTAAACATGGACCAGAAGAAGCAAAGGAGTGAGTTGTCTCAGGAGATGAGAAAGAAAATTATAGACAAGCATGTTAAAGGTAAAGGCTATAAGACCATCTCCAAGCAGCTTAATGTTCCTGTGACTACAGCTGCACATATTATTCAGAAATGTAAGATCCATGGGACTGTAGCCAACCTCCCTGGACGTGGCCGCAGGAGGAACATTGATGACAAATGGAAGAGACGGATAATATGAATGGTAACAAACGAGCCCAGAACAACCTCTAAAGACATTAAAGGTGAACTCCAAGGTCAAGGTCCATCAGTGTCAGATCGCACCATCCGTCGTTGTTTGAGCCACAGTGGACTTCATGGGAGACAACCAAGGAGGACACCATTGTTGAAAACAAATCGTAAAAAAGCCAGACTGAAATTTGCCAAACTGCATGTTGACAAGCCACAAAGCTTCTGGGAGAATTTCCTATGGACAGACAAGACAAAACTGGAACTTTTTGGCAAGGCACATCAGCTCTATGTTCACAGATGCAAAAATGAAGCATATCAAGAAAAGGACACTGTCCCTACTGTGGAACATGGAGGAGGTTCTGTTATGTTCTGGGGCTGCTTTGCTGCATCTGGCACAGGGTGTCTTGAATTTGTGCAGGGTACAATGAAATCTCAAGACTATCAAGGTATTCTAGAGAGAAATGTGTTGCCCAGTGTCAGAAAGCTTGGTCTCAGTCGCACTTCATGGGTCTTGCAACAGGATAATGACCCAAAACACACACAGCCAAAAACACCCAAGAATGGCTAAGAGGCAAACATTGGACTATTCTGAAATGGCCTTCTATGAGCCCTGATCTAAATCCTACTGAACATCTGTGGAAGGAGCTGAAACATGCTGTCTGGAGAAGACACCCTTCAAACCTCGAACAACTGGAGCAGTCTGCTCATGAGGAGTGGACCAGAATACCTGCTGAGAGGTGGACAAGTCTCATTGACAGTTACAGAAATCGTTTGATTGCAGTGATTGCCTCAAAAGGTTGTGCAACAAAATATTAAGTTAAGGGTACCATCAATTGTGTCCAGGCCTGTTTCATGAGTTTATTTTTTTAAATAATTCTGTTAAACAACAGTTCAAAAGCAATGTCTGATTTTCATGACTTCATTTTCATTGAATTTTTATTTATTCTTACTTTTGTCAGATTCAAGTTATTTCTGTGACCATTGTGGGTTTTTCTTTCATTAACCGAGGGGTACCAACTATTTTGTCCACATGTGTATGTAGTGCCTCTACAGACCACATTGAGGCAGGTTTAGTGACACCACATGAAACATCCAACCTGTAACATCAAAAAACCTCTGACCAACCTAAAAATAATGGTGGTCAGCTGCACTGTTACACTTCACATTTCCCTTGCAAACTGCTTCTGTATTTTTCTTTTTCTCTTAGGCAATTTGGAAGTTATTTTTTCTAGTTTTTGAACTGTCAAAACACCTTTAGTTGCAAAAGGTTTCGAATGAAGTTGCAAATTCCAGCACAAAAGCCACAACTTAACACTTTTACTACCCTCAGAGGCTCTTATTTTCTATGCTGGGACTGACCATAGTTCAGGGATAACATGCTTTGTTACGATTTCAGTTAAGAAACTCTTACAGAAATGATTAGAAAGGATTTATTTTTATCACCCCAATAGAAAACTTCAATAAAACATCATACAAGTCCAGAGCTAACTGCTGTCACTTAGATTGCCTTTTATTGCACCAATAAAGCAGCCAAACAGTTCCGCAGCCGGCCGCCGTTGCCGCAGCTTTTCTTCCTATTGCACAGATTAGACTTTGCAAAAACAAGCACAGAATCAAAGCATTTCACACATTGAATGGCCTTTGCATGGCATGTGAATCTCTGGCTGTAGCAGTGAGTCTGAGCTGTCTAGATTGAAGCAGCCAGATGTTGAGCGTACATGTAGCAGCTGAGTGGAGGATGGAGGAAAGTGGGAATGGAGAGTCTCAGCTCAGCACAAATCCTCCCTCTTTTCAGCCCCTGATGAGGAACCCCATTTTAAGAAACTGATCCCCCCCCAGTTGGACGCGAGCAGGATATGAAAGCCCCTTAATGGGAGAGTGATGGACACAACAGCCTGAGCCAAAATGAAGCCCTAAAGACACTGGGCGAGAGGAGAGACACGGCAGCTCTGTTAATGGACGCCCTGTTCAGAAAAATCTGAACAAGAAATGGAGCCACTCAGAGCAGTAATGGAGCCCCTCAAGAGGAAAATGAAATGCAAATGGAGGGGAAAAAAGACAGTCTTTTTCTGAGGATGGACACCCATTGAGGCCCTAACAGCACAGTGTCTGTTTACGAGCATAAACAAGCCTCCCGCTACACCTGTGTGTGTGTGTCTTACATTGTCATGCCCGGTGTGTTTGTGTGGCTGATCACAGCTTGAAACTCATCCAGGTTTGAAATTGTGATTTTTTTGAATTTTTTTATTTTTCATTTTTTGCAAAGATCTATAGAGCCTGAACCCTGAAGTTGACGCAGTACCAGATTATGAATATACATAATGTCCAACTGAATTCCTGTTTGCTCTAAATCTGTCACTTTCTCCGACTACCTGCTCTGCCGTACAGTATATTACACACTCAGAGGGCTTCCTGTAAGCCTTAAAACAGCTTAGAAAGACTAATGCGCTCATAATCATCCCAGTTCATATCCATCACGCTTTTATGCAGCATGATATTATAGTTACTTTGTGATGCCTGCCTTTCATTCCCGCTTTTAATGTTTGTTCAGCGTGATCGTGAGAGTAATGTTTGTTTAGCATAAAGTTGATGAAGCGTCCCGGTGTTTTATTGCATCCAAGCTGCAATCTGTGTCTTAGGAGCAGTTTGACACGTTGGGGAAACAGTAGCCGAACCCCGGTTTCAGTGTTTGCGCACAGCAGCGACACCACTATTAATATTGTCGTATGATTGCAGATTTAAAGGCAGACTGTGGCTCTTTTCTGCAGCAGAAAGTTACCAAACTGTTCCCTGGAGCCTTTTTTAACTTGAACTTTAAAGAGTTTCTGTGTTAAAATAACAGCAGAAGGAGAAATGGCAAACATAGTTATCGATTTTCTTTCACATTTATGTGATTTATGAGATCTAAACTGAAGCACAGTCAGAGAATCTGGGACGCAGGTGGGACCAGGACAGTCTGTTCAGTCCACTTTGCAGTTCTTTTCCCCGTGAGCTTTATTTTCTCTCGTCTTGTTTCATCTTTTTAATTTTTTCTTGCACTGCTAAGCTGTATTCCCAGTTCTGCCAGATGCCAGACTTTTGGTCTGCTGTAGTTAACCTTGTTGTAATGTTAAGCTCTGAAACTCTAAACAAGACTCACACCACAGGACCTTAACCCTCTGAACCCCAACAGTTTCTGGGTGTTTTTTTCTGCTCCTGTCACATTTCTACTCACTGTGGACTCATTTTAACTACAATAGAAAGTCACGTACCTCTTTGGAAAAAGCACAACCATGGATATAAGTAGTGAGAACTCAAAAATGCCTTTTGCTTAGTCTAAGAAAAAAATATTGCCATAAATCATAAAAAGGAAAATATTGTGCGTATTTACTGCAGAAAAAATGTAGCAGAAACATGTGCAACATTTTTCCAAATATCCACAGATGTTACCATAGAGAGAAAAGATGCTGGCTGTACATGTTATAGATATTTTTGACGACTAATACGACTACTACATTTTTTATTTGTTTCCATACTTGTCTCTTCTTTGTCCTGTAAACACAGCCTGCAGTTCAACCAAGGGTAGCTGACAAATTCCTGAACTTCTGCCATGCAATTATTGATTGCTGCTGAGTCACTAATGGCTGAATGGTGACAGAGAGGAGCATATAATTAGTTTTTTGTTTTTACAAAATCTGGCAAATGGACACGGACCATTTTTGTGATTTTTAAAAACATATATTTCTAAAGTGATTTTTGATTAAATGTCATGATTTTGAGCCTGGATTTGGGTCATTTTACCAACAGAACAGCATGTCACAGATGAGCAATTCAAGGGCGACTGGAAAATAGAAAATGTGATGATTCCTCCAGTTTTTGCAGTTTGTGGCTCTGCTAAACGCTGCAATTTTGATGATTATTTAAAGATGCTTTTTAAACTCTCTGCTGAGTGTTGAGGTTCAGAGGGTTAAAATCCCAACAGATTCTGAACTGAGAAACTTCACAGACATTTTTCTCTTTCATCTCAGACACACTACAAGATTTGTAAATAATGTTGCATCAGGATATTTTTTTAAGATTACAGTGGCAGAGAGAGGAATCATGGAACAGAGCACCAGCGTATGGGGAAGCAGATGTAAATGAAATGGAGACTGTGGAGCAACAACTTGCTGTAATAATAGTTATCAGAGAGAGCAGGTGAAAGTTAACAAGTTATGTTCGTAATATCTGTAGCTAACGTCCCCTCAAAGGGTAGAATATGTAGCATCGCTTGGCAAAGCTAAATCTATCATAAACTCTAAGGTTATTATATTTATATGTTTGTAATGTGTCAGTGATCAGTTGCTTCTA